ACCTTGCCTGGTAGGAAACCTTAGCTTGACACTTCAGTAGCTAAGGGAGACCTCGATTTGGCACCTCGGCAATTGAAGGAAACCTCGACTCGGCAGCCGAGCTCAAGTCTCTAATTCAAATCGAGCTTGAGCAGCGAGCCCCTGCAACGCAGGGCCCCCTCCGCTAATTTGCTGAATTAAAGTGAAAAGTGATGGGAACCAGTGTTGTAAACTTACTTTTCCGTTGTCCATTGCGATGGAGATGCCACTTCTGGCCTCAAGCTCCGGTAGATGGGAACCAGTGTTGTAAACTTGTAAAAGAAGAAGGGAACTAGTGTGCAAACTGTGATGGTGCTTGGTGACATCAGCGAGGGACAAAATGCCTGGCCTGAGAATTTTCCTCGTTCACAATTGAAGAAACCTAAGGATGAACCAATAGAGATATCTGCCACAATGGAGTTTGGCATTTCCGATTTACGTTGCCATTGATGATTGAATTCCATGAAGACTGAAGAGGACATGGGGGTTCGGCATTTCCTGTAAAATCCCAACTGCATCTTTGATCGAATAGTTACTAAATAGAATATTATTCAAAACCAGATTTCCCTGCCTACTCTATATTGAGTGCATCGAGTTTTTTCACTTCCTATAACACCCAATTGTGCACGGAGCAGACAATGAATCTGGCCTTGTCAAGTCCGAGTGTCCGACCTGTTCGACCCAGGAACCATGGTCAATGCCTTACCAAGGAATTCCATATAAGCATTATATACGTAACCGAAAATCAAGGAATTCCATGAAGAAATATCTGAACGAACAGGTTGTGGGCATCATCAAATTGCTTGCAGTAGAGACAAAAATTCATTGGAAATGAACCCAGAACGTAGAATGTAAAAACAGACCCAGGTGTAGCTCCTGCAATCCATACAAATTATAAAAAAAGAAAAAAAATGTTTTGCAGCCCACAGCCAGATCCCTCAATATCTCTTGGATACCTTGCCATATAGAGTATAGACACAGTCGAATACAATCACATAGGAATGAATGGACAAAATGCCTCGCAGGGGACAAAATGCATGTTATTGGTATTGGACAGGGATGGAAACCTGAGAAGAACTTAAGGTTTTTGCTGCAGAAAGTTTTGAAACAAAACGATGTGGGTAATCTGGGAAGGATAGTTCTGCCGAAGGTGATCACTTTCTCCCTCCTCACTCTCCTATCCTTCTTCATACTTTTAATTGACGATCCATTTGATCAGAAAGAAGCAAAGACCCATCTACCGGAGCTTGAGGCCAGAGATGGCATCCATCATAGTGCATCAATTATCATCATGTGATACAGATAATTGAGGGATTATTAACAGTAAGTACTAAATAAATTGGCACATTAAGTGGCTGTTTGGCATCGTTGCCGTTTCCTGGAGCAACGGCACTACATCAGCGCCACGTAGGAAAAAATGATACGTCAGGAAACCGCCATCTGTTTGAAACCATTTTTCCATAGAAAACGGTGCTCTAAGCCACACCTTGGAAATCGGGAAGGCATGGCTTGGAGCAACACCAAATTTGGCGTTTCCGGGAGCTGCAGCTTGTTGCTGCCAACAGGGCAGTGATGTGGCACTAGATAATGGGTAGAAGTGCAGAAAACATTTCCTGGAGCATTGGTACTGATGGAGGGTGATTTGACCTGACCTCATCATAAGGGGACACGTGGACGTGACTCAACAGAAGTGACAACTCAGCGCGACCAGTCCGCCAAGATCCAGCGTGGCAGCTCGATACAAGATGACACTCCGATTACCCCGAGCTAAGATTCTTCCAAGGAAGCGCCCTGAGCTAAGATTCTCCCAAGACAGGAATCTCCAGAGCTCAAGTCACTTCGAGTTGAGCTTGGCAACCTCCTAAGAATAAACTCACCCGACCAAACTCAAGTAGGCCACCTCGGGTAGAAGTAGTTCGGCACAGGGTAGCTCGGTACAAGGTAGCTCGGGGCAGAGTAGTTCGGCATATCACAGGAAGATCTCCTGCCTGAAAACCGTACCTACCAAATCTAGAGACTACGCTCACGTCTCTCGCCAGGCGGCGTCGTGCCTGCCAACCTTGAGAGGCGTCCCTTGTCTGGCAGGGCCGTACTCTGCAACGGTTGCCCGCGCCCACCAGCTCAGCCCTGGCAAGTAACGGCTACGGCAGGGCTTTAGAGGCGGTTATACTTGATTTGTCAGGACATCAGTATATAAGAGCTCCGACCCCCAAGAGCAAAGGTAACTTGCATGATCTGCACTCTAGCCTTTTCATTTTTGCTCTGCTCTGCAAAGCAAAGGTAACTTGCGTGATCTGCACTCTAGCATTTTTTTTGCTCTGCTCTGCAACTCTCTTCCTGTTACTAACTTAAGCATCGGAGTATTCCCGCCAGGAAAACTCCATGGGGATCCTTCTTCTTCTTCACAAGTATCTCATCTGTCGTCGAATAGGAGCACAGCCGCTGCCAGATAGGAATGACCAGATCGCGCAGCATCAGGTACCAAACAGAAAAAGTTACTTTTGCTCCAAAAAACATCCTACCTAACAGTAACAATTCAAAAAAAAAAAAAAAACTAAACAGGATAGTACCAATGTGAATTAGGTCCAAATTACAGAGTACTAAGTTGGAATCTTCACTTAATAGAGACTAAACAGGATTTTGTTGGTAAACCAAAACTAACTACTGGATTTTGTTGGTAACCTTAGTACTGCAATTGCAGTAAATTGAAACCATGAGAGATCCTAAACAAGTGAAACTTGACCCAGTACCGGTAATCTTTGCCATTTCTGTTTTAAGCACATTCTATTCTTGAGAAAGGCCCATAATGGCCCATATTTTTTCTTTCTTCTTCACCAATCACCACCTCTTTTATGGAGGATTAGTCTCTACTTGATGTTTTTTAATATCTCAATATATGGTTACACTTCTGACTTTATAAAGCCTCTTTTTCTTTTTCTTATCTATTGCCTCTCCCCTCTCTCTTCTTTCTCATTCCTCTATCTCATTCTCTCTCTAACTTTTTTTATCAAGTCTGATTTAATTATGTCCAATAGCGCATGTGACATTATATAAGAAACATTTTTTTTTTATTTTTCAATAAAATGTATTTGCATAAATTTAAATATATGCAAATGGGTCAACATGGATGGATTAGGTTGGGTTATATCGAATTAGAAATATAGCTTATGGATGTGAGTGGTCGGTGGATAGGTCGGCCTTTAATCAGCTTCCACCCCAATCCAAACTCATCTATTTGTCACTGCTCATCCATATCCAAATCACCATAAGCACGTATGTTTATGTGCTGTTATACAGTGTGGAATTCATGTAAACATTACTACCAAAGTTTCTAACCACAAGCAGGTATGTTTATTTGCATTTTGTATTTGCAACTGATAAGCTTTCGTCTACTCTCTTTGTCTATATGTGCAATTTTTTTACTTTTTAAGAAAGGTTCATTAAATGTCAAGGTTTTAAAAATCAAAACGGATTCGTTCTGGTCACTAGTTTCTGGATCAGTGGTTTGACCATCCGGTCAAATGGTTCGAACGATTTAAATATTTTAATAAATGATATGACATCTTACCCATTAGATTGGAATATTAGGGTAAGATGCATATATAAGATAATTAGGGTTTGACCATTTGAGAATGAGAGAAATTTGAGAAGCTATCGACAATTGAGAGAGTTTAGAAGAGAGAGGGGAGAGAGAGAGAGAGAGAGAGTGAGAGAGAGAGAGAGAGGAGGAGGAGGTTACTTGCAGGTTGCAACAGCGATGACAACGACGACTTACAATGGCAACTGTGACGGCGATGGCGAACTATAACGGTGGCGATGGTGGCGAATTGGCAATGAAAGTAGATCTAAGATTTCTCTCAGTCTCAGATCTCATTATCTCTTGCAAATTTGTCATCTAGACTGCTCTCCCAGATCTCTCAGATGTCTCTCACTGTCTCTCACATCCCTCAATTGATCTCTCTTTCAGTAGATCTTAGATCTAAGAGATCTCTTTTCATTCTTGTTCTAACTTGTCAGAAATAATAAACTACAAACCATTCTTTGGGTACGGTCAGTGGTTAAATCATCCGGGTCAATGGTTCGTTGACTAATTCAATGGTTTTTTACCAAGGACTGAGTTTGGGGTAGAATGGAACCGGTCGCCTGAACGATTTCCGGTCCGGGTCAACAATGATTCAAAAACATTATTAAATGCCATAATAGCGGACATAATAAGTTAGTGCAAATCTCCATTCCGCATAACTCATCAAACTTGACAAGTTGGTCTATTGGGCTCGGCTCAGCTCCGCTCGAATGGGCTGTATTGGGATAAGACTAGGCCTAATCAGAGATTGGTTGAGTTTGGGGCTTTGGGCAATTGAGCCGCAACAACTCAACCCTATTCTATAACAAGCACACAATTGACACCTTTAATGTTAAAATGGGGTGGGTTTGGGGAGGGTTTTGTAATTTCTAGACCGTATTCGTCTCCTTAAACCTCTCAACATGTATCTGCCCCGAAACGTATTCGTCTCCTTGAACCCGAGTGGAAGTGCCTAGGGACCGCACCCCACGATGTGCTACTTGTCGAGATGACCACTTCAACTGGCTCTGGGCTAATCTACTTGACACCAATTGCGGCAGCAATCATTCAGGGTAGAGGTGGGTTGGGTTTAGAATGCCTCTAATTTCCTATTATTTCTTGTCATATATAAATAATAAATAAATAAAATAATACAAATAAACAACAAAATTTCTAATTATTTGATTAATGCATATAAAAAATACAATACTATTAATTATCCTTCATATAAAATTTAAAATATTATTAAATTCAATATCCAATACATAAAATTTATTTACCAACAATATATGGGAGTGGTAAAATCCCAAAACCCATTATTCAAGGAAAAAAAAACCCGCCCCATGGAGGAGGGTAGGGGCGGGTACCAACCGAGTAGACTAGAAATTAACACCCTACTCTCAAATAAAAACTCTAGCTCTAATAATCACTGATATATGTATTGTATTCAGTGAGTGAGGAAACAAAATTCGATTTTGCAAAATCAAATTTTGGAAGCATCAACTAAAAGCATTGATTTCAGGAGCTAATGATGTGATAACAATGCCTTAAAAATTTCTGGGTCTCTCCCAAAATTCTCAAGACAAAAAGGAAGAATCATCCAGCTTATAAAGGGCTTAAGCTCATCAAACGTCAGACAATACCCATATAACAAAACTACACAATTATACACAAATTGATTACCTTTCGATTCTCCACTTATTAAAACGAAAAGGGTCTCCACGCTCCTCTCTCCAGCAATCGACCAAACTCCTCTAATTTAGGCTTCAAGGATTTACACCCATCTCAGACCTGGAGTCTTCTTCAATGGTGGGAATTCATCATTCATGTCGACAATTGGTTCAACAGTTTAACAACTTCTCCCATGTATGGCCTATCTCTGGATGTATCATTTGTACACAAACAAGCAATCCTGAAATACTCCCGAACTTCTGCTTCTCTCAGCCCTTCTTTCGACATTGACGCATCGATCATCTGCAGCTGCCGCTCCTTTGCCACTATTCTCCTCGCCCATTCAATCAATCCACCCTCCTTCCCTTCCTCAATCTTTATCGGCCAACTCGGACGCCTTCCCGTCGCAACCTCCAGCATTAGTATTCCAAAGCTGTAGACGTCGGCCTTCACCGTCGCAGCCATGACCCCATCCTTGTACTCCGGCGGCATATACCCCATCGTCCCGGCGACTTGCGTCGATACGTGAGAGTGCCACTCATCCATCCTCCGAGCCAGTCCAAAGTCAGCAATGTGTGCCTCAAATTCAGAGTCTAACAGAACGTTGCTGGACTTGATGTCTCTGTGAACGATGGGCTTGTCCAGAGTATGCAGGAAAGACAGACCATTCGCCACTCCTTTGATGATCTTAATCCTGGTCTCCCAACCCAAGGGCTCGCGTACCATGGACGACGACCACGCCGGCGCCCCTTCTGTTGAGGTGTCGTGCAGCCACTGGTCCAGACAGCCCTTCTCGATGAACTCGTAGATTAGCATCCGGTCGGCGCCGGACACGCAGTAGCCGAGCATTTTCACGAGGTTCCCGTGGCGAATATTGCCCAGAGTCTCCATCTCGGCCTTGAACTCGCGTAACCCCTGGAAGGCGTCTTCAGAGAGCTTCTTGACGGCGACAGTGACGCCGTTCGAGAGGCGAGCCTTGTAGACGAGCCCGAAGCTTCCATCGCCGATGATCCCGTCGCTGGCGAAGTTCCGAGTGGCGATCACGAGTTCGCTCATGGAAATTCGGCTGAGAGAAGGGTCGAAATAGGCGCTCTCGTCGATGGTGATGGAAGACAGAGATGAATTATGGTTGGCTAGGGCACGAGATGTGGTGCGAGAGCCTGGTTTCTTGGTTAATTTGCAGAGAGAAAAGACTATGGCGAAAAGAACGGTGACCAAGAGGAAGCTCGCACCGGACGAAAGTACGGCCTGCAACGTGGGATCGATCATTGGTCGATTGGGAATTCAGAGATGGGGTTTGGATTTTACTTGCAGAGTACGTTGAAGGGGTGAAGGAAGAGTGAATAGTGTTTGACCCATCGTTAGAACAACAGAAAACCAGAGGGGTTTCTTCTTCCAGTTCCACCATGAAAGATATTTCGATGAAATTCCCGAAGTCGTCGGCTCCGACAGTCCGAGTAGGAACCGAGTCAACGGTTTGTTATATATTGTATCAGTGTGTAAGTTAACATGCTGGGGGATTCTGATGAATTGTTTTTTCACCGTCGGATGGCAAGTGACGTAAGTTGTCAGTTGCTGAGAGGGTCTCACGTGGAGATATTGGTAGGAGGGAAAAAGTATGGATTGGAATGAAACAAAAGGAAGGTTATAATGCGTCATTACCTACCAAAGTAAATACAAAATAATTGAGGGAGTTGGATTCCATGGTGCTTGGTTCACGGAATTGGATGTTCTTCTGGGCTACAGGCTGTCAAGTGGAGATGATTTGATCATCCGGTGGAGATTTGCATGTGAAGACTGAAGAATGCGTGTGGTGGAGGGGACCGTGTGACGGGGGGAAGATACGAAGCCCGAAAGTCGACGGATCTGATGTCATCCATATTACCCTTAATATAATTAAGGGTAAATTACAAAAACTTTCCTTATAGTTTCATTTTTAGCAAAAATCTTCCTTATATTTTTTATAAAATTAATAAATATCTCTCTTCCATTAAGCAAAATCGAAAACGTTAAAGAGATGATATTTTTTTTCAAAATACTTATTTTACCCTTTCTCAAACATTGTTCATCTTCTTCCCCGTTAGAATCCGGAAGTATAGCAACAGCGGCGGCACCTCCTCTCAGCCCCTCCCTTCCTCCCTCTCCCTTCTCTCTCATTTTCTCCTTCTTCTAGGGAGTTGGAAATACCCTGCGGAGCAACGGCGACAGTTGGAAATAATTTCCAATAGAATGCCTTTTCCTATATCGCATTCAGACTATGCTTTTTTGCCTATAAAAGGTGATGAAGGTAGGGCGATAACACGGCCTGAGCCCAGAAAAGAAAAAGGGTATAGAGAAACTGGATACAACAGGAATAATGGCAGATCCAGTTGATGAGAGGAAAGAAGTTAATGGAGAGAAAAATGAAACTAATCTAGAGGAAGAAATAGAGATTACAGAACCGGAAAAGACTATGCAAGACCGGAAGTTGTCATGGGCGAAGCTTCGCAGTGTAGACTCGCTCCACTTGGAGGCTGGGAGAGTTTCAAATGGTTGGATGAACCACACTACGAATGTCTGAGAGTAATTCATCTATTTTTTTTTCTTTGTTAATCTCTGTTTTTGGGCTGAAAAAATACAAATTTTTGCTAACTGACTAACCGTGTGTGCTGTAATTATATATAACAAATGGATTGGAGAACGACGGTGAGTCTGGCATTCCAGAGCATAGGAGTGGTGTATGGGGACATAGGGGCATCTCCACTTTACGTGTACTCAAGCACCTCCAGCGACGGAATCAAGAACAATAACGACATACTGGGCGTGTTGTCACTCATAATTCTGCTACCGCTGTCATCGTTGCTCCGCTCGGTCTCAAATGGAAGGCGATGAATAGGGGGTATTTCCAACTGACTAAGAAGAAGAAAATGAGAGAGAAGGGAGAGAGGGAGGAAGGGCGTGGCTGAGAGGGGGTGCCGCCGCCGCTACTGCTTCTGGGTTCAAACGGGGAAGGGAGGAATAGTGCCTTTTTGATTGATTTATGTTGAGGGGGAGAGGGGCAATAGGAAAGAGAGATTAAGAGGGAGAGAATGGCGGAAAGGGAGAGGTTTCGCATGGAGCACCGCCGTTGCTGAGAGTTGCAGTGGCGGTGGTAGAAAACAAGGGCGATGGAAGGGGACAATGCCAGAAGAAGAAGAAGCAGAGGAAGAAGAAGAAGAAAAGGAGGAGAAGAAGAAGAACGGAAAAGAACAAAAAGCTGAAGAAGATGAAGAGATCGGATTTAGAGGGGTGCCGCCGCGCTGCTATGCTTCTGGGTTCGAATGGGGAAGAAGATGAACAATGTTATGGCTATTCAAGAAGGATAATACCTCTGATTCGAGGTTCTTCAGGTCTCTGTAGCTGAATGCAGCTTCCCGCATTGCGTCTTCTTTTCGATCTGGCGACTAGGGGAAATGCTTGAGCACGGCCCTCTCATCAGCTAGGTAAGATAGTTCCTCGTCTAGCCATTTAACAAACTCTTCCAAATCAGATATCTTTGTATATGCCGCCCACGTGTATATGTGCTTTACGGTTAGGAGATAATCGACTATAAGAAGTGAATCAATAAACCAAATATTTGGTTATGGAGGAGGATTGATACCCTAAAGAATTATCACTTTATAGCTACAACACTTACAGCTAAGAGATATGCCAGCCGATTCTCTATTTCTCCGATCATTTTCTTAGCATTTACAGCTTCTTGGATCCCTACAACGTACGTTGCCTCTGTTGTCGGTCCTTGCATCGCTCCTTGTAAGGGCGCTGTAGAATTCCATGAGTTCCGGCACTCTCCGCAGTGTGGTGGTTGACCTAGATAACAACTTCGAATTCTATGATGGTGGCGACGGTGGTGGTGATGGAGGGGGTGGCGCTTTGTTTCCATGTATTCCGTTTGGTAGAAGTGTAGTAGTACAAGTCGGCCTTGGAGGTGGTTTCGGAACTCTCGGTTGTCTTTCCTTCCTACCAATAGATTCCAGAGAAACTCGCCCTGAACACAGATTTTCCGTTGTTGGGTTCTCACCCAAGTCGATAAGAACTTTTGGCTTATGTTGCATTGCATCTGTATTATTGCTACCGCCATTGACAACAGAGATCTGTAGCTTACTCCAGAGTGCAGATCTATTATCCATGAGGTTAGACTTAAAATACATTAGGTTATCCACATGTTTTCCTACCTTTTTAGGCAGTCTAAGTTCACCTCATAGGGAGCTTAGACTTATAATACATAATCATGATTAACCAAAAGAAGTGTTGCCACTTAACTTGGATGTGACTTCCATACTCAGGATAATCCCATTATTCTCATTTCTTTCATGTTTCTTCTATTGGATGGGCTTTGGAGTCGTGATTGTATTATCAGTTGATTGTATCCATACATGATGATGATTTGATTATAGTCATATATTTTTCATCTCTTACTTTAGATGATGGATGCATCTGCAAATGTTGTTTGGCATGTATTGTTTTTCTTAGACTTTGAATGATTTTCTTCCTTCTTTGCCTCTTTAAATGGATATCAAATAAATGTTTTTTATCCACTCATATGTCCCTAAATATTAAGCAATATTGGTGATATCATTACAAACATCCATCTAATTTTACTATTTTATAAATAGATTAATGATTTCAAAGTTATTGATATTTTTTTAGGGGTGGATTGCTCAATAGGACATTGACTTTTTATTGTTAAATAGTAAATTTCAAATTAAATGATACAGTAGTTGCCCCTTACTTAGTATGGGGTCATTGTCTAGATAAAACATGATAAGTCTCTTAAATCAAATAAAGAGTCTACCCTAAATGTCTATTATAAATAATTAAAAAAATGAAATAAATCAAATAATTACTTATTAAAATTATTGGATTAAGTAAATAATAATAATAATAATCAATTATTTATAAAAATAATTAATAATAATAACAATCATCAAGTACTTAATTAAGTAAATAATAAAAAATGAAATAACAGTCATCAGTTATCATTAATGTTTATTCAAAGCATGCTCCATAATAATTACCGAATACAGTAATTAAACCTTAAATAAGAATCAATATTTATTAATAGTCATTAATGTTGTTAAGCCAAATCATTAATGTTTATTTTTAAATGCAAAATATGAATTAACAAATCTATTATATAATAATTATACTCGATTCAAAAAAAGCTATTTTAAGTAAATATTTAAATAATTACAAATTTARTTATTATTATTATTATTATATAACAAAAATTTTAAATTAAATACTAAAATAAATTAATAATTATAAAAATGGTTAAATTAAAATAATAAATAGTTCAAGTTGAATTTAATGACTCGTACAAGGGTAAATTTATATTGACCCATAGAATGCATAAATTTCTTAAAAAAATAGTAGTTTATAAATAATAATAATAAATGGTGATAAAAATCATTAATGTTTATATATATAATTAACTTACCCCTTACTCATTCATTAGTGTATATATATTTGATAAGTCTAATGCAAGAGACATAATTTTTCTTCGACATCTGTCCTACCCATTTACAGTCTTGGGCAGGTCACCGTTGTGAGCATGTTGACATTGGGAGGAAGGAGCACTACCCTCCCGATTAGAGTCAAAAGATAAGATCTCTCCGCGAGGGATCCGGACGGCAGACAATAGAACAATGGATTTGATGCACACACACCAACTCTTATCTGCAGCAGAACAACGGAGTCACTTCCCTCCTCTCTTCAGGATTCCTCTTGATCGAACTCCATGAGGGTCCTGGAGAGCTGCCGAGTATCTCTGCCACCAGACTCGGCTGCTGAAAAAACGCTTACTCTCACCTTCTTTGACTTGATATGGCTGTACCTTCCTCGTCCCTCTCGCCTCTTCTTTTATGAATTCCCTCACCCATCTAACCACTTCACAACCACCATTCTTCCCAAGCTCAAGCACTCACTCTCTCTCGCCCTTCAAATTTTCTACCCATTCGCCGGAAGCCTAACATGGTCTCCATCATCTGCAGAGCCCCAGATCCGTTGTGTCGATGGTGATTCAGTTTCTCTTACTGTTGCCGAGTCAACCGCTGATGTCAATCATCTCTCTGGCAACCATGCTCGATATGCCAACCAATTTTCCCCTCTGGTTCCTTGTTTGCCATCACTGTTAGACTCTGACATCGCCCCAGTATTGGCTTTGCAAGTAACTGTGTTTCCCAATTCCGGCTTCTGCATCGGAATCACCTCAAGCCATGTGGTGGCCGACGGTAGAAGCCTTTTTCATTTTATTAGGTCATGGGCATCGATCTGCAGCCTTGGAGGAGACTTGTCGCCATTGTCAGGATCTCTCCCGTTTTATGATCGGACTGTAATAAAGGATCCTGATGGTCTCCTGAAGAAAATTTACCTGCAAGAGATTGCAGGATTCAAATTTGTAGTTTCCTCCTCCGAACAAGGCGCCGAGCTCCCAGTTGAAAGATTACAGGCTACATTTCTGGTGAACCGAACGGATGTTGACCGACTCAAGCAATGGCTCTTGGCCCACTGCAACGACAATGAAACTCAGATACAAAAATCGCCATTACCATTTTCAACATTTGTGGTAATATGTGCCCTCACCTGGGTTTGCTTGATTAAAGTCGGGGCTGTCAAGAGTTCTCCCACCAAGACGATGGAGCACTTCGTTGTTAGTGCAGACTGTAGGGGTCGCCTGGTGGACCCTCCGGTGCCGACTACATATTTCGGCAACTGCGTTACTCTGTGTTTCGCAAAAGCAAACAGGGGTGATTTAATAGGAGAACGTGGTTTCCCCATTGCAGCAAAGGCGATTGCAGATGCAATAAGGAGGTTGGAAGATGGAGTACTGAATGGTGCAGAGAGATGGATTTCGGAGTCAGGATCACTGGTGGAGGAGGGAGCAGTGACAGTGGCTGGATCACCTAGATTTGGGGCTTACGAGGCGGATTTCGGGTGGGGCAGGCCAAAGAAGCATGAAGTGGTTGGAAAGGGAGAAGGACACTTCAGTTTCTACGACGGCAGTGATGGAGAAGGTGCAGTGGAGGTGGGTCTAGCTCTCTCTAAGCCCAAAATGGATGCTTTTGCCACTCTTTTTGTCAATGGTCTCAACGTCGCCCGTAGAATCCATGACCGGACGGTCATGGTATGAACGGTCGAAGTAATGTTGTGATTGTACTTTATGGCCGTCGATTTGCTATTTGCTTCAAATGAATGATGAATGAGTTCAGTATAAATATCGATCTGAACAACCAAATATATATCTAAAGTTCAAAACCACTTGAATTTACAAAACCAGAATAAGGGATTTTTCAAATTTTGATTTTCATATAACTTTGGTTGTTTTTCATCTCTTGGCAAGACCTAGCTGGTACCAAGTTTATTGTAACTGTCAATTTGGGGGATATAATGTTCACAGTGCAATTTCAGAAACGAATGCATCCTCTTTACAGTTTACACCACACATTTGCCTTCCTATTTGCTTAACTTTCATGGAGCAAATAAATGCCTGCCTTTGGTTGTAAATGCATGGGAGTGCAAACCTGGTTTAATTTTGCTTCATATTTGACTTCGTTTGTTTGGCATTGAGAAATAAAATAGAAAAATGCATGGGAGTGCAAATGTGATTTTGTTTTGCTTTATATTTGAATTTGTTTATGATAAGTTGAGAAATAAAATAGAAAGTAAACTGAAATGGCCTAGACTTGAAATAGTCTTGATCCTCTGCCAAAAAATGATAGTGTCTACACATCATGCATGAAATAGTGAATGCAATAGCTGAATGCAAATAGTTGTGGAACCAATAATAACACTTCACGCCATAGGGCATTATTATTGATTCTACAGCCTCCTACCCAATGAAATGATTCAGCTAATGAGGATAATAAGGACTATTATTGAATAAGGGCTTAAAAATAAGGGCAAAATTTGGGTTTTTTAAACAAGTATTTATTTTCAGTAATTAGCACTTTTTTTAGCTTATTTTTCAAACATAAATAAGTGTTTATTGTTATGGTCTCAGACTAAATTAAGTGTTTATCTTCATCTTACACTTGAGTTATTGGAGTCTAGGAATAACGATAATTGTAATGGTAATTGGGACCCCACTAGATTCAATGCCACAGATGATTTCCAGTTTTGGATTTTTCAATAGGGATGAGAGGATCAAGGAATGCTGGCAATGTATAGCTTGTGGCATTGCCGGTTGAAGTTGTCAATAGAAATTAAACTCAGTTACTCCAACAATTAACTCCTCAGGGATTGGGGTCTCTCATCAAATACCCTAGAGCTAAATTCACCAATAAAGGTAAAATTTCCGATTAGTACCCTGTATTTTTGGGCTTAGTGCCAATTTGGTCTCCAAACTTTAAAATGCACAATTCAATATTCAAATTTTTAAAATGTGACAACCCGTTAATTAGCCGTTAACTAGTCATTAAGTAATATTTGAAAAAAACACAAATATCCTTCAAGTGTTATTTTTTCTTTATTAACCCTCTAAACATTGATAAAAAAGTCGGGGTCACATTTGATTGGACATTCTGGTGACCCCAACTTTCTTGATTAGAAGAGGCAAGGATTTGAGAGTGTTAACTTTTTGTTAATGTTTAGATGGTTGATAAAGAAAATTAGATGACACTCGAACGGTATTTGCATCTTTTTCAAATGTCATTTAACAGCTGATTAACAATTAATTAACACAGGTACTGGATTGTCATGTTTTGAAAATTTGAATACTAAATTATCGCATTTTAAAGTTTGGGGATCAAAGTAACACTAGGCATAAAGTATAGGGTATTAATCGTAAATTTCCCCAAAAATACAAACAAACAAACAAATACAAAGAGGAAAGTGATTATGGAAAAGGGATGTTATCTCAATGAGAAAGAGAGCAGCAACTGGAACTATAGTGAGAGATCATGCCATATCTAGTTGGAGATCTTAATGTAGGCAACATGAGATGTATTAGAGACTTTAGTCAGAGTTCCAAGTTCAGGAGCCAGCAAGCATTTTGAGGATTCTGCGCCCTGTAGAAGAAACCCAAGCATCCACAGTCCCTGTCACACTTCGCCCTACAATCAGCTACCTTCACTGGGCCGTCTCCCTCGGAGTACTCACTACTGAAGTGCTCAACACCCTCTATCCTGTAGTAGTTGATATTGGCTCCAGCCTTGCAAGGAGGAAGCTTTGGCGGTGCACAGCCCTTGTTCCACCATGACAAGCCCTGAGGGGTAGGACAAGCCACACACTGGTTATCTTCACAAACTCCAAACGACCCACACCTTGTAGGCAGCTTACACTCACTCTCACGCCCATCTCTGTCGAAGAGTGTGAATGTAACATCCCAGCTGAACCAAAAGAGCTTATCGTAGTAGGTATAGATCTTAAGGTTGCCATCAGACCCCAACCGGAGCATTGAGTCTAGCCAACGTATGAACCCCAGAGGCGGCAGTGTCGAAGATTATGTCAAAAGCATTGGCATCTAATGTCTCAGGCTGACCATTAAACCTTACGTATGTAAGGGAGTCTTGTCCAGTCCCAAACTCTTGGTAGGCATAGTAAGGCAAGGGCTGTGGGGAGTTGTTGCTGGCAAAGTACATAGCAAGTCTGTTCTTCTCCAGCACAAAGCTATACCGCCCTGCCGATGCATCAGTATCCGAGACACGGCTCACAACCTTGGTAGGACCGCCAATGCGTATTTCTTGGCCTACCAGAAGGGTATCAGTTGGGTAGTCAGGGAAAAACAGAAAAACCAATACAAAGGTTGTAAAAAGGGGTCCGGATTAGGTGAGCACATAATAGATGTGTGACACTTGTCCCAGTTAATGTACTTTTCATCCAAATGTTTTTATCAAAATAATTAAAAATAAAACAATGAAAAAGGAAAACCTTAACACTCACTTACGTTTTTTTTTTCATTGTTTTTTATTTTTAATTATTTTGACAAAAACAAGAAAATAATAGATAATTTCTATCTAACGGAATAAAAACGTTTGGATGAAAGACACGTTAACTGGGACATGTATCACACATCTATTACGTGTTCACTCATTGTGCTTACCCTACTACATCCGGACCCTGTAAAAAGATAGGAAAAGAAAGGGAAATTAAGACAGAAAAACCAATATAAGGGTTGTGAAGGTTTCTCCACCTTTTCCTTCCTTTCCCGACATTTTCCTCAAACCAAACATAACCTAAATAAATAAGTAGATAAAGTCCAAAAAAAAACATGATGTTTTGTGTGAATTGAGATCTGCTCCTCACATAGGGCACCTTACACCGACCGTATAGGCACATCTCACCATGCATTAAAAACATTTCCCGTAAATAATAATATATAAGACTATAAGTACAGAAAATATTTCCAATGAATGGTGGGATGTCTGTGAGGAGCAGATCCAATCTTATTTTGTGTGGAGCTTTGGTCATTACATCCCAAAATGCATATAAAGGAAAGGTAGTATAGATGGGAGTCACGAGACCACCATCCTCTTCTTACTCATCGGCATTTTTTCCACGCCTCAATCACTCGGTGAGCTGTCACCCAACAAGGTGGGTATATGAAATCATTAGTTAGGTGATCGGTGATGCCACCACTTGAAATAGTTTAAAGTTATGAGACAAGCGATAAAAAATAAAAAATAAAAAACGGCCAAGAAAACCCAGAATATGCAGCCTAACTTCATACCCTCTTGCACCAACACCACCACTTCCACCAGCCTACGTTTTGTCCGCAAGCTATCAACTCGGCCTTCGGAATCCCTCCGTATGCATCATGGAGCGTTGGATACTTTGCTGGCTTCTTTCTTTCACTGATCTCTATTTCCCTACAAATGTCCCATCAACTCTCTCAAATGTGCTGTAACACTTGCTCTTCCGTCCAACCTCTATGTCAAGTGATGCCATGACTCCGTCAGCACCTTGAAGTCCAACATGGCCGGCCCATGGAACCATATTGTTCTCCAGCTTTGTACTACTACAAGTTTTGATTGAGAAGTTGGTCCGAACTTCGCTTCATCGTCATCAGCGGTATTCTCGAGTCTCGACTAAGATTCCTATGCGCACCAGATATCGCATTAAGCGATACAAGCAATCTGGGTTGGCTTCATTGCATCAATAGGGAGACATGCGGCAGAGAGCTGCGATAGTGTGATGGGACGTCCATGACTATGTATGATGTCTGAGATTCCCGGTTCAACTGCATACCTCAGAGCAAAAGAATCAAAATAGGAGTTGTGTAATCCCGTATCAGAGCCTGCATTTCCCTCTCGTCGCATTGCCCCATGTCTTCCGGTATGGATTTCACTCTGGCTATACATATATTTGGGTTCTAAATTATATGATTATGAGCTTCGTCTCATCTTATTTCTTGACCATTTTTGCATTGCTTGCATCTAAGCCAGACGTTCTGGATATCAGAACCGTTGAGAGAAGGGGACAGAGACCCCATCAGTAGGGGTAATCATTTCAGTCTGGCCTGACCAGGAAAATCTGGGCTTGGGCTTACGTTTTTTTGTTAAGGCTCAGGCCTGGTTCGGCCTGAATATGTATATTATTTAAAATATTTGATAAATGATATTTTATATATTAAATAAAGATTCATATGAGATTTGAAAATTATTGATGTTTTGTGGATATTACATGACAATGGATGGTTATTTTTTGATAGATAGTATAGGTTCTAGGTTAATTTTTTGTTGATAGAAGAGTTGGTTTGTTAAAATTGTCATTTTTAGCATACTAATGACCAATTGAAACTTATAAATTACAAGATATAATTATTTAATTTATTTTATCTTAAAAGCCTTTATTTTGATATTAAGTTTAAAATTTCTTATAGGTTACTATAGTCTCCACGACAATAAGTGAAAAAAAAAGTACAATTGTTTAATTTTGGAACTGAAATATAATAGTTAGGCCCAGAATCTTGGCCCGACCTCGGCCTGGCTTATAGTTTTAGCCCATAATGCGGGTTGGGCCAGGCCCATGCCTAGCCTAAGCCCATTGTTATGAAGGCAAAGCTCCATGATCAACCCTACCCATCAGGTTATTATAAGAAAGCCTAGGAGACTATGGATTCAGAAACGGTGGTTTGCTTGTTGGTATCGCAATTAACCCCCATCCACTTGTAGGGTTGTTACCTGACCAATTTGATGGGGTCGGAGAAAGAGAAGAAGTGAGCTTGTTCATGATGGCAGCATCATTGGCAATGGCGAGAGAGACAAAATTGAAGACCCACAAGAGGAGAAGGTGAGAGAGTGGGAGAGAGGAAGAGAAGAAAGTGAAGAAGGATGAGAGTTCATTTACAGGGTTGAGAATGAAGATGATGAACAATATTTTAAAGGGTAATTTTGATATTTTCAAAAGTTTTAAATCATGCATAACGTTAGGTGACACATATAATAGATGACTCGTTAATCATAGGTCTAAGTTGACATGTTTTGAAAGTTTGGGTACTGAA